ACCCACTTTAAAAAGACTGTTGGAATTTCTAAACTAACCCTTGAGGAATTTTTGACCCTTGTTACGCAGATAGAGGGAATTTTAAACTCTAGACCAATTACTCCATTATCTACAAATGCAAATGATATGAACGCTCTGACGCCAGGTCATTTTTTAATAGGGCGTCCAATAACTGCCCCCATAGAACCCGAAATCACTCCAATTCCAGATAACAGATTGTCTAGATGGGAAAGAGTTACAAAATTGACTCAAAATATTTGGAAAAGGTGGCAAAGAGATTACTTGTCTAATTTACACGAACGAACTAAGTGGCAATTTTCAAAGGATAATGTTACCCCTGGTACAATGGTTCTAGTTAGGGAAGATAATCTTCCAGTATGTCATTGGTTAATTGGTAGAGTTGAAGAAACTATAGCTGGCAAAGATAAAAAGGTTAGGGTTGTTTTAGTGCGAACTTCTAAAGGTTTATTTAAAAGACCAATTCATAAATTGAGTATTTTACCTATTGAGAACACTAAATAGTTTGGTAATAATTGTAACCTCATTGAATTATTTTTTGTTTATATTTGTATTGTATCTTTGTATTTTAATAATTTCCTTTAAATTTGGAATTGTGCATTCATTTAATATGGAAACAAATAATTTTCTACAGTCCATAATTTTATTCTATTAATTGAAATCAAATATTTCTAATAATTTTATTGTTATTCTTATAGTTTCAATGCATATTAGTTATTGTTGAAATATGTTAAATATTTCAAGGGGCCGGCATGTTCGGTCTTAGGCGAAGCGCCATCTGTAGCAATTGTTGTGAACTGCTCAGTTTCTCTTGAACTCTTGTTTGAGCCAGTCGTGGCTTTCATTGCAATAGTGCAATGATTTTGGTTATTTACAATTGTTAAAATAAAATATTGTTTGTTGAAATTTCGTATTTAATGAACCAGCGCACTGTGTACAATCGTGTACAGTAAGTAAAGTTTGACATGATGGGAAAAATTAGTATCAAATAGACGTATAATAGTAAATGGTGGAATATAAGCAATACAGTAGTTGAATTTTTACTGTAGCTGAGAGTAATAGGCGACGGTACTTTAACATATCTGTTGTTATGGATGGTGATTTCAATATAAATGTAAACAATAACAATCTCGAGCTCAATTTGTTTGTCTAAGATAGGTACTCTCACAGCCACAAAATCTGCGGCAGTCTGGTGTTATGGAAACAAGAAGAGGGCATTTTAGGGAGGGTAGCTTCGAGGAAGAGGTTTCCTTTTCTCTCGCCGAAACTAGTCCTAAAGAAGAACCCCGCACCCTTACTTGAGATAATGATACCTCGTTACCATAGTCACCGCCACAGCTCCAGATGAATGTCTGGCAGAGTACCTATCTCAGACAAGCTGGAATGTTTCATAGGAAGATGTTTTACGCAGAATATGACAACGTTAAAAAAATAAACTATATTCAGAAATATTTTCCTTTTTTTTATTTTCAGTAGCCAAAAGTATTGCTAATAGATACCTTTTTTTAAGTTATTAACACTGTGTATTTACAATGAAAAATAAAACAAAATTAAAAGTTATATTAAATATATTTTATTTTCTGAAACAGTAGTTTCTAATATTATTGAACTACCTGATCTTTATCTCAACATTTGCCACGTGAAAGAAAGCAGTATTTTTTTAAAATTATTTAAGGCTACTTTTTGCATAGAATATTATTCTTTGGGAAAACGAATTTTATAACTGTGTATGAAATGTATCGATATATTGCAAAACACGCAAAAAGTAAAATTAAGAGAACTAAACTTTTGATCGCTTTCCTGACCATACTATGGGATTTGGACAGAATTCGAATTTGGCTGAAAAGAAACTTAATTTATTGTAAATAAATTTTTCGAAATTTTTTAATAAATTAAACTTTTATTTTTTGTAATTTGACATATTAAAAATAATGAAATATCATAAGAAATGCAACATTATTACTGTTGTCTCGTGGCGACACTTTTAAAAAGTGGGCGTAACTTTCCTAATTCTAAAAGGTTTAATCTTCAATTCGCTACCAATTTATTTGAATTTTGCACAATGCGGAGTAGTTTTTACTTCTAGTTATTCTAAAAAAGAACTCTCCCCTCAGCACTAATAACAGGATTCTAATTTTTAAAATGCTTCTCACCCCCCTATTAACATATGCAGCACCCACCTTCGGGGAGGGGCTGCGAAGACAAATCTTAAATTCTTACAGAGTGCTTATAATAAAACCCTCCGCAATATCACAAATTCAACCTGGTATTTCAGGAACACAAATATCCGTAATGATACCTGTACGCTTAGTCTTCTTGACTTATACAGAAATAGATCTCTTAAATATTTTCTTAAGAGCACTGGAAACTCCAACCCCCTTATTTGGTCTTCGTCTAATTACGACCCAGAGGACCCTAAGTGCAGGAGACGGCCTAAGGCCATTCTCCATCACTATAAAAATCTTCAAGACATCGTTTGAGTCGTATTTCTGATTTTTCTATCCCCCTGACTGACTCCTCATGTCCTCTATCATCATTACCCTTTTCCACATTCTTGGGTAGGCCCAATCCTTCGCAGAATTACTGCGGCTAAATCTGATTCAATTTACTAATACAACTACTAACAATGCTAATCACTCACTGCTTATTTGTCAATAGTTATAAATTAAAAATGAATAATAATTAATAATAATTAATTTAAAGAACTTATGACTTTATCTGTTTGCTTACGTTTTTACCTGTCCGTACCTCCCTGTTCTATTTTTTTACCGCAATATTATTTAGCTACCTAACATTAAGTTTACTAACCCAAATAATTTTAATATCAATGGCCTTTGATTCAGTTTGCAATCATATAATTTACGGAGGTGGCCTTTTTGGCCAGGTACTCCGGTGCACCAAGTATTAGTTTCCTCAGTTACTATTGAAAGTGGATTCCAAGAATGATTATACTAAAATTTTCAACAAGAACAATTTGAAATGTATCTCATAGTCATATTAAATAAATAACAAGAAAATAAAATATCTACCACTTTTTACATTTTAGTTGCCTGTGACTTAAATGTGTATCTTTTGTAAGGAACACGACTTCAGCGTGGTTAAAAGTACCTGTGAATTAAAAATAACTGTTTGTTATTGAAAAAATCATATTGATTATTTTGTACAGTACAAACTAATTTATGGTATCGTAAACGTATTGTCTACTTCTTCCTACCACTTTCTACGTAGCAGAGAAGTGGAAACTCAAAGTAGGCACACAAATTAAATTTTCAAAAATTCCGGATAGAATAATATTATTAAATTGCGTAAAAACTGTGTTTGGTAGAGTGAAATTGATTGCGAATTTCAAATCAGAGACGAAAGAATAACCAAAATTTCGGTTAATAACCTAATGCATTAGCACCATAGCGTGAATAAATACACGTTTTGTTTATCTGAAAACCATACGTGTCTTTTCGCGAACAGAACTTTCAGATGCTTATCTACATTTGTGATTATAATTGAACCACTTTTTAATTGTTGAGAAGCAATTCAAGAGCGATACGAGAACAGAAGAAATTGTCAGATCTGAAAGAAGAATACCTATCAAGCAATCTTCTGAACTCACGAAAAGTCCTTTTTATTATTAATTCCATTAACAATTTTCTTTAAAAAAATAAGCTTTTTCTTACCGCTCTAATGAAATAGACCATACACAGAAATATTTTCCATTTTTAATTTTCATTGTCCACCAGAAAAATGTTTTGGTAGCAGATATTTTTTAGTTAATGTTTTAATTACAAGTACGATAATCAGTAATTAAACAAGATTAAAATATATATTAAATATATTTTATTTTCTGAAACGGTAGTTTCTAAAATTTGAACTACCTCATTTCTATATGAACATTTGTCACGAAAGAGGAAGCCGTATCTTTTTTTATTTATTTAAAATTACATTTCTTAAAATGGTTTAATAATTAATATACCTTAAAATACTGGGTAAACGAATTTCGTAACTGTGTATAAAATGTTACGATGAGCTTGAAAATTCATCCAGATATTGCAAAACACGCAAGAAGTAAAATTAAGCGAACTAGACTTTTGATCGCTCTCCTGACCATACTATTGGAACCATTTCTACAGAATTCGAAATTGACGGAAAAGAAATTTAATAAAAAATGCGTCGTTATATGATTGATTATGCTTCTTAAAATCAGTAAAATTTCATTCATTCACGGAAATTTTATTCATTACTAAATTTATTCTGGATAATTATTCATAATCAAATTTTGTCATTGTTCTTCATTCATTATGCAAACTTATGCAATTTTTTGAATAATGATTGTTCAATAAATTCTTTAGTCATTACTAATTTTTCTGAATAAAATTTTAAATAACCAGCGAAAAATGCAAGCATTATGTCATTTTCTTTGCAAGTTGCGAGTCAATTACAAAATGCAGTAATTGATTACAAATGTAATTAACTATAGATAAATCAACTTCTTCAAATAATCATGGTTACAAGTAATTACAGTAACAAATTATTATCATCTATCATTACAAGCTGACAATATCATCGCCATCTTTCACCGAACAACTTACAAGCGGAATACTAATAAATTGAGACCCGAAAACCTCTGGTGGACAGACACTCTCATGACAATGAGGAAAAGAGGGAGAGCACTCAGAAGAAAACTTCAAAAGAGTCCCGATGATTTAAGCCGTAATAATAACAAAATATAATTTAAGAAGCACTTGGCCAAATATATAAAAATGCTCAGGCATCAAAAAAATAATGAAATAAAACGATACATTGATAGTTTCACCTCAAACTCGGCGTTTTGGCAAACCTTGCAAGATCTCAAAAGGTGTCAACGCAAGAAAACTAAATAACATATTTATCCTCAAGGAAGACGGCTCCAGAACGTGTAGCTATAAAGAATCAATCACTAATATACTTAACTACCATTTTCCCATGTTACAGGATGACACCACCCTGATTCATCTCAGAGGGAGGCATTGATGATCCCCTTTTTATTTATACTGATATCGAACTCGTCATCAGTAGAATCAAATCCAACAAGTCTCCGGGGCCGGATGGAATTCCAGCTAAGGTGTGCAGGAACTTATATTATTGTAACAAAGAACTGGTTCGGGTCTGTGCTCAACAAATGTTTACAACTGGGTTCTTTCCCAGAACTTTGGAAATCTGCATTCATCTGTTTGAAACCTAAACAAGGTATAGACCCTCGCTTCCCCCAGAGTAATCGTCCAATCTCACTGCTGTCTACCTGGGGTAAAATTCTAGATAAACTTATCACAGAAAGACTAATCTACTTCTCGGAAAGTAAAACCAATTTACACCAAAGCCAATTTGGCTTCAGTAGAGAAGGCGATGCTCTTAACTTTGTTGTCAATTATGTTACAAATGCAAAACAGCAGGGCAGACACACAGTAGGCGTTGCCATGGAAATCAAAAATGCATTCAACTCTGCAAAGTGGCATATTCTTAAACAAAAGCTT